GAGCCTGGGGTTTGTTTACTGTGTGGAGGTGAATGAGTGTGGCCTTGACTCCGGTATTCCCCTCCCCCCCCCAATCCTCAACCACAGGGCCTGCCCCTCCCCCTTCAACCACAGGGCCTGGGCCCCCCCTTCAACCACAGGGTCTGCCCCCCCCCCTTCAACCACAAGGCCTGCCCCCCCCCCTTCAACCACAAGGCCTGCCCCCCCCCTTTCAACCACAAGGCCTGCTCCCCCCCCTTTCAACCTCAAAGCCTGCAAACTGTTTTCAATTACAAATAAAACATTTCTAACCTTGTCAAACGAGAATAAAGCCTTTGTGAATGAACTCGGAAAGCGTAAAGCGCATACAAACTTTACCAGTTTGTAAAGAACACATAATTAGAAAGACAGTAATGGTTTAAATATAAAGCAGCAGTTAAGCAGCTAATAAATATTAGCAGTCCCCGTGGCACAGTGGTAAGACACTCGCCCGGAGCTTCCCGAGCGCGTTGAACTGTGTTCGTACCCCTGGCCGGGGAGGATTGACTGGGCGCCTATCCTTAACTGTAGCCTCTGTTCACCCAGCAGTGAATGGGTACCTGGATTTTAAACGATTTGGTGGGGAAAATTAGGATTAAGGACCTGCCCGGAATGCTATGCGTGCTAGTGGCTGTACAAGAACGATTGTATTCTCCTAGCTGTGCTTGGGGGGGGAGGGGGGGGGTTGAGCTCTGCTCTTTCTGTCTTCCTCTCAACTGTCAGTCAGTCAACTGTTATTAACTACTAACTCCCCCCCCCCCCACACACACACCCAAGAAAGCAGCCCATAACAACTGTAACTCCCAGGTACCTATTTTCTGCTAGGTAACAGGGGCATCAGGGTGAAAGAATCTCTGCCCATTTTGTTTCTGCCATTACCGGGAATCGAACCCGGAGCCTAGAATTACGAGTGCAGAGAACTGTCCATTCAGCTATCAGGCCCATTGTATGTACGTATGTATGCATATACAGTATAATATATATATATATTATATATATATATATATTATATATATCCTCGGCTACCATTGTCTTTTGTGTGGTAATGGATGGTCGAGTGGTTAAGGTACCGTGTACACCAGATGCATTGTGCTCCTGGCTGTCCCGGGTTCGAGTCACTTCTGGGGTATGGAGTTTCCAGTCGCATATATGCTTGGGGATCATTCAAGCTTGTTTGCATATACAGTATATATATATATATATATATTATATAAATATAAATATAAATTGATCCAGAGGGAAAGAGATAATCCGGCAGCATTACTCATCCTGTGAGTGAACATATGCCATAACCACCTGTTCTGCACACCTAATAGGAAGAAAACCCTCTGCTTTGTCCATCCTGCTACATGCACCCAGACACAGTTGAGGCTTTACTGTCTCAAGATTAACAATTATCAACCTTAAACTTACATTATCTTCATTGAGGAATCTTTCATAAACAGAATCTATATTTGGCAAGTAAAGTTTTCCTAACTCAATGTGATGTGTGTTATGTATAATATGAACATTTATAATGTATCGTTGGAACGCAGTCTCTCGAGTAGGAATGAAGGTGGTATCTACTTCTCGTACTGCAGATTCTGCAATTCAACTGCTCAGCTGCTGTTTCCCTCCCAAACTACTATGTATAATGTACAGATTCTTAACTTGATTGACCAGATCACACACTAGAAAGTGAAGGGACGACGACGTTTCGGTCCGTCCTGGACCATTCTCAAGTCGATCACAATCGACTTGAGAATGGTCCAGGACAGACCGAAATGTCGTCGTCCGTTCACTTTCTAGTGTGGTCTGGTCAATATACTTCAGCCACGTTATTGTGACTCATCGCCTGCAGATTCTTTACTTGTTCTTCAATTCTTCTTTTCTCAGTTACCTTGCCATGATGCTGTTGATGATTTCTCTAATCTGGTAGTACAATACTTTCCCTTGGCTAAGTAATTATAAACAGAAGGCACCAAGCAAGGAAGACTGTATACTGTCTGGCACAGAACAATCAGAAATTCTTGGATTATATTTTTCAGTGTCAATGTGAGAGCAAAAAGACATGAATCATGTCAAAGGCATCAGACTCACCAAGGATTTTATCAAGGGAAACTTAATGCACAGGAGCACTGGGAAAATAATATTCCCTATAAACCTGAAAATCAGGACATGCTACTAGGAAGTGTGCAACTATTAGTGTGCAGCCACCCAGCATGATAAAATCATCAGTACAAATGGGGGGGACCTTTGACAAGCCATCAGCTTCCTGTCCTCACTGAGGTCACTAGATAGTGGCCCTCAGGTAAATTCTGGTAAATAATGCAGCTCTGACAGAAAGGTGCAGGATTTTGTTCTATTAATAGCCTACAAGTTTTTTTTTTTTACACAGGTGGGTACAGGAACAGATGACATCCGACTCCTGTTAGCAGGTCAAAAGCTTTTCCTTCCCATAGCTCATGGTAAGCCTTACCCTACTGGCTTTCCCTGGAACATGACCTGCAAATTGGTTTATAGTCAGGTACTCAATTACTGCTGGGTGAATAGTTAATGAGTAGTGCCTAATGAATCCTCCCTGGTCAGGATACGAACCCAGACCAAATCGCTCACAAGGTGTAGGGTGTTTGTGTTATCACTATGCCAAGAGTTGTTCAAGAGCTGACAACACACAACAAAACCAAAGATGTTTCCCACTTCATGTTACAGTGACAGGAAGAAGACCGTGGTGATAGGCCACATTTAATTGTGCACAATTTGTTCTTCGGAATACCTAACCACCTATTTCTCCAGTGCTTGGGAATGGCAATATGAATCATGGGGTATAAATCTGAGTAAGGAATGTACTTCTGGGAGATAGGACAGACATAAAAGACTTCTTTAGGTGCCTCTAATGACCATCCATTAAAGTGAACCCCAATATGGCTGGGAACCCAGCAAAATTTAATTGTCTTATCTGCTAAAGATTAGGGGCAGCCAATATTGAATTTCGATCATCATGAGCACTAAAGGGCCAAAACCTGTAAGGTCATACGAGCATGAGTCAACTATTATAATGAATGTTGCCTTATGAAAAGTAACTGCCATAAAGCATATACAATTACATAAAGCTCTGCAGTAAAAATACTAGTCTCTAGCGGGAGGCAACACACAAATGTTTGCCCTGGAAAGATAAAAGAAAAGCTTACAGAAATAATCTGAAGCCTTCAGAGATGGTAACGGATTTAATGTGTAGCTTATACTAGTATTTGTCTTGAGAAAAAAAAATCATGTTTATCGACTTACATGTATCGAGATGATTTCAAGATTTTTTGGAGGGTTTCTGGATTTTTTGACGTGACTTGAGCAATAAGTAACCTGACTAGATTACAATGTAGATTGATGGCCTCATAATTTATTTGGGTGAATTTAAATTCCTGATGAGACAGGTCTCATAGCCTGGTGGATAGCGCGCAGGATTTGTAATTCTGTGGCGCGGGTTCGATTCCCGCACGAGGCAGAAACAAATGGGCAAAGTTTCTTTCACCCTGAATGCCCCTGTTACCTAGCAGTAAATAGGTACCTGGGTGTTAGTCAGCTGTCACAGGCTGCTTCCTGGGGGTGGAGGCCTGGTCGAGGACCGGGCCGCGGGGACACTAAAGCCCCGAAATCATCTCAAGATAACCTCAAGAAGGGTACATGTCCCCCCCCCCCATACATCACCACATAATTTTCAAACTCCTTAAATGGGTTGACCCAAATACTAGTTGGGTCAAACTCCAGAATGAAGAATATATACAAACAATTTGAGGCGCATCCGATCCCTCGATCGTCATCGCCCCTCAACCAACAATAACATACAATTTGCACACTGGATGTTTCATCCATAGGTAACTCATTTTTAAATACTGTACTATATTCTCCACATTTTTAAGTTTTGTACGCCCACACATACTGTACAACCTATCCTATGGTTCCCGCATCGTCATGAGTTCGGTTAGGCAAGACAATAATATTTATGCTAACTGCTTCATGTTGTAATGTACTGTACCTGTAGCCTCCAGAAAACTGCTGTAGGATTACTGCTACAGTTGTAAGTGCTGTAAGTTAACTACATGAACTTAACAATTTATCCTAGTGACATAACACCATGCTAACTGTTGCTATCCAATATTCGGCCTTCTTGGCACCATTCCCTCACTCTGTCCTCACACTCGGCCCCTATACTGTCCTCATAGCCCTTCCATGTGCTAGATAGTCATGATGACTTAGTGGCTCTCTCCTCATAATTACGTTCGTCATGTTCCTTCATACCAGTGAAAGTGCACGCTGGCATCCCGCCAGCCAAGTCCCGTCTACCCACCAGCCAAATCCTGTCAACCCGCCAGCCAAGTCCTGTCAACCCGCCAGCCAAGTCCTGTCAACCCGCCAGCCAAGTCCCGTCAACCCGCCAGCGAAGTCAAGTCAACCCGCCAGCCAAGTTCCGTCAACCCGCCAGCCAAGTTCCGTCAACCCGCCAGCCAAGTCCCGTCAACCCGCCAGCCAAGTCCCGTCAACCCGCCAGCCAAGTCCCGTCAACCCGCCAGCCAAGTCCCGTCAACCCGCCAGCCAAGTCCCGTCAACCCGCCAGCCAAGTCCCGTCAACCCGCCAGCCAAGTCCCGTCAACCCGCCAGCCAAGTCCCGTCAACCCGCCAGCCAAGTCCCGTCAACCCGCCAGCCAAGTCCCGTCAACCCGCCAGCCAAGTCCCGTCCACTAAAGCCACAAAAAACGTCTAATTAAGCCAGAGAAAGCAAAATCAAGCCAAATACAAAGCAAGTTAGGCCAAATCAACCCAATAAAAGCCTTAAGAGAGCCAAGCCGAGGAGGTAATGACTCAACCACTCAACACTAACTCAATTATCACCAAGAAATCTACACACTATTGATGCAATTCCTTCATTCCATAATAGTCAGAAGACATAGAGCCTCGACATGTCGAGATATAAGCTACATTATACACAGCTGAGTTAGAAGACTCACCAAATATGAGAAAAGGCGCCAAAACTCAGTCCGGTGAGAAACTTCACATCACAACAACAACAATGACACATTCCTCAGGGACCCCGCGCTTGTCATTTCAAATATCATTGTGGACCATAATTTACAAACATACTCGAATCTAATCTAAGTTAATCTACACTAATCTGTGCTACACTAACCTAATCTAACGAATCAAGTAATTTGGTTTTGCTATTTTATTTTTTGAGTTATGACGTCACTGTGATGTCATGAAGGGACCTCTTTATTTTTTTTTTAGAATCCTCTCTGCCAAATATTTCCTTGTTTTTTTTAGTATTGCTTATCTTTAAACTCAATTACTAAATTACTCTAATATTAATATTTAAGAACATAAGAACATAAGAACAAAGGTAACTGCAGAAGGCCTATTGGCCCATACGAGGCAGCTCCTATTCTATAACCACCCAATCCCACTCATATACTTGTCCAACCCGTGCTTGAAACAATCGAGGGACCCCACCTCCACAATGTTACGCGGCAATTGGTTCCACAAATCAACAACCCTGTTACTGAACCAGTATTTACCCAAGTCTTTCCTAAATCTAAACTTATCCAATTTATATCCATTGTTTCGTGTTCTGTCCTGTGTTGATACTTTTAATACCCTATTAATATCCCCCCGGTTATGTCCATTCATCCACTTGTAAACCTCTATCATGTCACCCCTAACTCTTCGCCTTTCCAGTGAATGCAACTTAAGCTTTGTTAATCTTTCTTCATATGAAAGATTTCTAATTTGGGGAATTAACTTAGTCATCCTACGCTGGACACGTTCAAGTGAATTTATATCCATTCTATAATATGGCGACCAAAACTGAACTGCATAATCTAAATGGGGCCTAACTAGAGCAAGATATAGCTTGAGAACCACACCAGGTGTCTTGTTACTAACGCTGCGATTAATAAATCCAAGTGTCCGATTTGCCTTATTACGAACATTTATGCATTGATCCTTTTGTTTTAAATTCTTACTAATCATAACTCCCAGATCCCTTTCGCAATCCGACTTTCGCAATCACAACACCATCTAGCTCGTATCTTGTAACTCTATCATCATTACCTAACCTCAGAACTTTACATTTATCAGCATTAAACTGCATCTGCCAATCCTTTGACCATTTCAAAACCCTATCTAGATCAACTTGAAGTGATAGTGAGTCCTCCTCCGAATTAATTTCCCTACCGATTTTCGTATCATCGGCAAATTTGCAAATGTTGCTACTCAAACCTACTTATTTACAATAAGAAAATAATTTCTTCTTCAGATATTCGTAAGCTTAATATCTTCTAATATGGCATAACCTTCCTATCAAATATATCAATCAATCAATTCATGTTTATCCAAAAGAATGTGTATACAAAGAACATAAGGGTAATGTACAAATGTAGGGACAGGAGTTACACATACTAATGAAGCAACTACAGGATTACGCAAAACGTTTTTCGCAAAAAATCTAACCGAATAGCATATTATTACATATTATATGTGGCATATTATTCATGTTTTATACATAGCTATTTAATATCATTACAAAATCATTAATTTGCTTCACTAAATATATATATTACATTATCGCGGGCTGGAATATACCGCTCAATCATCATACTTTAAAATACAATAACCCATTACATCTAATTTTATAGTAATCCCCTGTTTATGTTTATAATATAAATAAATGAATTAACCCTAAATAGGTAATTCATAATGAATAAGTAATTTGGCCAATATGTCCATGTTCAATATATGAGGTGAGTTTACACTCGGGCTGCCTTGAACAGCTGACACAGTCAACAACAAGCAACAGGTGGGAGCTAATATTTTGGTGTTTGGGCGCATCCGATCCCATGATCGTCGTCGCCCCTAAATCAACACAACATAATATTTTGGTGCTCATCATCAGCCTCTTTACGGGCTATTCATGCCCGTGCCACTTCTTGGGGTGGCTTAATCTTTATCAATCAATCAGCCTCAAACGGGAGACATCTCCCGTCACGCAGGGTGCAGTCACACCTCCACAGATCTCCAGTATCAGCTCTTGATACTGGTAATGGCTCAAAAGGGTCACCATTTACGGGCTATTCATGCCCGTGCCAACTTTTGGGTGGCTTAATCTTTATCAATCAATCAATCATCAGCCTCTGGAGAGGTACATGAGGCTTAGCCCCGTCCCTCTCTTTCATACCAACAACAACCTCTACCAACCTTAAGGCTACCATAGTATACTTAAGGCTACCATAGTATACTTAAGGCTACCATAGTATACTTATGGCTACCATAGTATACTTAAGGTTACCATAGTATACTTAAGGCTACCATAGTATACTTATGGCTACCATAGTATACTTAAGGTTACCATAGTATACTTAAGGCTACCATAGTATACTTAAGGCTACCATAGTATACTTAAGGCTACCATAGTATACTTAAGGCTACCATAGTATACTTAAGGCTACCATAGTATACCTAAGGCTGCCATAGTATACCTAAGGCTGCCATAGTATACTTAAGGCTACCATAGTATACTTAAGGCTACCATAGTATACTTAAGGCTACCATAGTATACTTAAGGCTACCATAGTATACTTAAGGCTACCATAGTATACTTAAGGCTACCATAGTATACTTAAGGCTACCATAGTATACTTAAGGCTACCATAGTACCTTACCAACCAGCGAGTATGCCTTAGTCCTAAACATGACCTAGGATAAAAGTATACTTTCCTGTCCTGTCATATTCATATTCCATATGAATATACTTCACGGAATATGCTTCACACTTTTCTTATATCTTAGATTCTTTTAGATTAATCTAGGTTTGAAAATTGCACGTGCAAACTATCTGCTGTTCAAAATTATCTGCTTCCATTTGAAATAGGCGTTTGGAGTGCTGTACTATTTAGATACACCGTAAGATATTAAATATCCTCCAACGATTTCAGTCAATTTATGTGGTAATTATCCAAACTATTCAGTGCCCAATTTGCCTGTTTCCATCCTGTCCATGCTTGGGTATGTAAGAGGGTATGTGGCCTTCATAGACTTAAGCATGTGTGTGTCAAAGGTACAGTATGGTGATGCTAAATGTGTTGTACCGTAGCTGATATTCGAAAAGAATATGTAAGATATAGAGCTTGTAAAAGACATATTAATCATTTCATGAATTTTCATTAATGAATTACATTTCACCTTTGTGAATGTACATTAATGACACTATGTAAAAGACACATCTAATACTTTATGTAGGGCATACGTAAATCTGTGTATCTATGTATTTACGTATGTAGGTTAGCTTAGCATTTTAAAAGCACCGAATCACCTTCTGTGGTTGAGTGTTCAATAAACCCTTGAACTGTATGTTTAACACTTCTCTAACCCTGTCCATGGAGGACAGAAGAAAATGTATATATGCTGGTTAGCATTGTAAATGTGTGGCCACGTCTGTGGTAGAAAATAATAAAAAAAAAAAAAAAAAAAAAAAAAAGACATTGTATTGGTGTAGGGCCGGAGGGGAATCGAAAGTACTGTACCTGTGGCCTTTTATGGTACAGTACTCTGTACTACCTTCAAACACATTTTATATTAATGAAACAATCTGTAAGTTTGTTTTCACGTTTGAATGCATTTAGCACATGATACAAAGTGCGGCCTTATGAAATCTTCACCGAGTAAAATACAGCATTTGTATGATGAAAGGTTCCCCACCCCTGAGGTGGGAGGAGGCCTGGTCGACGACCGGGCCGCGGGGACGCTAAGCCCCGGAAGCACCTCAAGGTCAAGGTACCCCTGGTGTAAGCTAATGATTGGTTTCTTAATACTGTATGCTCTTTTTCATGTGGGATGATTCAGGTTACAATTCTCTAGTTTTTATTTATTTGAAAAGGTATTTGTGTATGTAAAATATTAATCTTGCATGTATATAGTACTGTATATACTTAATATATGCTGCTTTAAAACAGTTTTGTGTACAGTACTTTATAATTCAGTATGTATTAGGGTATTAATGTTATTTTAACGTGTTTATTTTCCAGAAAGATGGCTTACTCTGATCTTAAGGATGAGATTTGCAGTACTTGGCTGCAGTTAAGTGCCGAGCAAATGGCACAAGTTCGTTTAGCTCTGTTGGGAGTTTCTAGCTCGGTTGGGGAGTTTCCACGAATGCGAGAGATCAGTAGATGTGCTGATCTGTCTTCTGCTCTGATTCTACTGGAAAAATGGATGCTTCTTACACCTCAGAAGTAAGCTATCCCTGCATAAAGCTGTTTGTAGTGACTATAAAGAGAATGCATTAAATTTTGATTCATATATTTACCTAAAAGTCATCATCACTAGTGGCCTCAAGGGCAACATGAAACTGGGGGCTTGTCAAAGGTTTCACAAGTATTGCTGAGCTTTTTCAGCTGAATTTTCAAATGAAATTTTCAACATGTGACCATAGTCGGCAGAATGACATGCAGGACATATGTCAAATATTACTCTTTTATATTGTATGCCTGTATACATGCATTTTTTAATTTGCATATGGGTTACGAAGTAGCTGGAGGAAAATCATATACTGTACTTGAATATGGTTTTCACAGCTTTAATCTACTTGGTTCCTGCATGATATCCTGAATTAACACAAATCAAACTTATAAGAAGGGAATTACAAATCATAATAAAGATTTCTACAACAAGAACAAATTAATATTGTCTAATGAATAAGATATTTCTAAATATCACAGGATATATTCCTTCAAAAGTTTCACAATCCAGCTTAAAAGTATAGTTTATGGGAAAAATAGGGTTATATGCCTGAGACCTCCAAATGTCTCCTAATGTCTACCATCCTCCCAACCACTTGGGCTGGACAGTAGAGCGACGGTCTCGCTTCATGCAGGTCAGCGTTCAATCCCCGACCGTCCAAGTGGTTGGGCACCATTCCTTTTCCCCCATCCCAACCCAAATACTTATCCTGACCCCTTTCAAGTCCTGCATAGTTGTAATTGCTTGGTGCTTATCCCTGATAATTCCCCCCCCCCCCCTGAGACCTCCAAATGGTCACTTTTTGCCACTGCACTTGATAAAACACATACAATATTTTAACATTAATGTTTAATGCTCCCTCCACTTTGCAGCTACATATTCAGCACATAATGAGGTCCAGAATGCTTTTGCATGCACATGACTAATCATTATTATAAGGGACAAATCATAATTTGTTTATTACAGTATATTATATCACTACTTTTCATTTGAAGTCCTATGGCTTTATTGCCTCTTTTGTTCTAATTCTTTTCTGGAGTTTAAATCAGACCAACCAAAAATTACTTTTCACATATAATTTTTCATTTATATGTGGAAAATTACCTGCCCCCTCTATAGTTCCATTCAAAATTCTTTTTGTTTTGTATAATGTATATAGTGTATATAGACAAAAATAGTTTAGTCTACATTTTTTAATATAATAGAAAAACATGGACCAACTAACACGTGAAGTTAGAAAAGGTTCAGAGATACGTCACCAGGCTAGGCCCCGAGCTAAAGAGTACAGTATGAGCTACGAGGAAAGATTGCTGGAACTAAACCTCACGACACTGAAAGACACAAGTTAGGGGAAACATCACTACCTATAAAATTCTCAGAGGAATTGACAGGGTAGATAAACTGTTTAGCATGGGTGGTACGTAAACAAAGGGACACAAGTGGAAACTTAGTACCCAAATGAACCACAGGGACATTTGAAAGAACTTTTTTCAGTGTCAGAGTAGTTAACAGATGAAATGCATTTGGCAGTGATGTGGTGGAGGCAGATTCTAAAAAGAGTTTCGAATGTACTGTAGATATGATAGAGCCCAGTAGGCTCAGAAATCTGTACACCAGTTGATTGATAGTTGAGAGGTGAAACCAAAGATCCGAAGCTCAACCCCCGCAAGCACAACTATGAGAGTACTATACCAGGCCACAGATATGTTCTGCCTGCCTGCTAGTCAGGCTTAACTAGATTTATTATTGTTTCTGTTGTAGAATAGTGACCATGAGCCCAGCTCATTTGAACTTGGGTCCATGTTTGGTTCCTGGCTGCAGTTTCAGGTTACAGATTCCTCCTGGCTAGCAAGCAATGATTTATTTTCTTTGTGGTATTAGTAGCTGTTGTTAGTTCCAGGTTCTTAAGGGTTAGTGTGCCTCCTGAGCCCATCCTCTCGAGTTGCCACACTGGACAGAAAATGGTGCACTAAAACACCTGAACCTAACCTAGTAACCCAGGCATAGAAAATGTGAATGTTTGTGAGCTACTATGATTTAAAGTACATCATATTTTGTCATTTAAGGATTTTGACATCAAAATGCACAGTATTATTAGTGAGAGGGGACAGATTAGCTTCCAATTACTTCTATGTTATGTAAGCCAGAGAGGACCTTGACTTTCTAAATGAGGTCTTGCTCTATTCTCTCTTTTTGCAGCAGACCTTGACCCTTAAATGGCTTCAATCACAAGCGACAATTTTCCAAATAATTTTTTTTTACATTAGTTTACATTAGGACTTTAAATTAGCTGAGTCATTTAAGGGTTAAGGTCTATAACACTCGTCTAATTGGTGAATATCCCTGTCCTTAGTTCTGTCTTTCCCGCAGCTGTGTCTGTACCCAAGTTGTTTACTCCAATCCTCCTGGATCCAGTTTCCCTCTTCATGGCACATTTTACCTTCTGTTCACCCCATTTTTCATTACCCATATCTGAGAGATGATGTTTCAAGTAATATGAGACCATTCCCTTCAATGACATGGAGAATATTCAAGTAGAAAAATAATAACAAGAATATATGAATATGTAATTCTAGGTGAAGATAAAGTGGTGAGACTGTCACAAGTATATTGGGCATCAGTGTTAAATTTATTGTTTCAGGTGTTTATGCAGTTTTGTTTCACTTGCGAAGATTACTACATATTAAAAATATAATTGTTTATTCCCTGTATTAAAGACATTGATATTAAAGTTGAAATAAGTTGTATTTCTAAATAGATTTTCCATTGAAGCAATTAATTTAAACTACATCCTCAGAGTTGACATTCTGTTGTGGCTAACTGAGCAAGTTGGGCCCCACACGCAGATGGTGAGAGCACGTATAGAGCAATACAAGAAGGTTTCTCTGCTACCTAATACCCACGAGAAGGAAATGCCTTCAGTAAAGCAAGATGATAATGCTCATTCTGATCCATTACTTCATCACCCAGTCTTTGATGAGGGTATGTCAGCCCATTCTTCTAATGTTGCCACTCTTACAAAATACAAATTGTTAATCTAACCATAAATGTACAAACCGGAGCAACCCGGTCCGACCTGGGAGCCGGTCGGCCGAGCGGACAGCACGCTGAACTTGTGATCCTGGGTTCGTTCCTGGGCGCCGGCGAGAAACAATGGGCAGAGTTTCTTTCACCCTATGCCCCTGTTACCTAGCAGTAAAATAGGTACCTGGGTGTTAGTCAGCTGTCACGGGCTGCTTCCTGGGGGTGGAGGCCTGGTCGAGGACCGGGCCGCGGGGACACTAAAGCCCCGAAATCATCTCAAAATAACCTCAAGATAACCCACCTAACCTAACCAACCGACGCCTAGAAGCTGTGGAGTTTTGTGAGCCACTACATTTCAGAGTATTCTATAATTTGTAAGTTGGAGACCATAACATACAAAATGAGACATACTGGTTGAAAGGACAGGTTGAGTTTGTACAGTATTGGATATTTGACTTGTTATTATACACTGTTTTTATTTCATTAAACTGTCTTGACAGTAGATGAAAAGTTCCATTCTGAGCATAGCACTTGGTTGCTTCCACTTCCTCCTTTCTGTCCCAACTTTTGATTTTATTTTATTTTATTTTTTTTTCTCGTGCTCTCTCTGTCTGTCTGTCTCTATCTCTGTCTCTGTTTCTCTCTCTCTCTCTCTCTCTCTCTCTCTCTCTCTCTCTCTCTCTCTCTCTCTCTCTCCCCGTCCTCCTCAGGATATGCTGTAGGCATTTCGATGCTGACTCATGTTAAAGGTTGGGAAGACCAACTAGCAATTAATGCCTCTTGGCAATTATATTTGGTAGTAATAGCACTTGAAAGAGGTATAGAGTGAGCCTTCTCAACTTTATTATGCCCAAAATGCTGTGTATAACCTGTGACTTTATATAATAAACTCCTTTACCTACTATATAACTACTTCAACATGTCCATTGTATATTGTATGAATAAATTTATAGTTATTACTTTCTTGCAGTGTGTGTGTATCTGAGCGAGAATTTACGAGGACGTTGGGCTGATCTTGGACGTAGTCTTGGCTTGGCTAATTTTGTCAGTGAACTGTTTCGTGAACCCACTGTGCGACAAAAAGATAAAGTATACCAGGTACAGTAACAGTCTGCATGTAGAACTTGATATGTTTGGCTTTATTAATACAGTATACGTATAATAATTATGTGGTAGTAAAGCTCCTATTTTACAAGTGTTTTGGTTTATTGCCTTTCTCTGTGATTAGTGACATTTACAAATTTATAATATACATACAATTTATACTATAATCATGTACTTTTCACAAATAAACTTATACTTTATTATTTTAGTGCAGAAAAATTATATTGGATTTATTTTGGTACAGTACTGTATTGGGATAGACAGTGGACATGGCTGTAAGAAGCCTAGTTTCAGTGGTCCATCGTCTTGTGGCACACATTAATTTCCATTGGCAAGGACAGAGAGCCCTGTACCTACTTATATCAAGATTCCCCCTCCCCCCTCTAGGCCAACTACTTAATGATTGTAAAAGAAGCACACACATTGACTTTACCAGGCTCAAAAGTTTATTTAGCTTATGATTTTCCATGAAAGATCAGGGGAACCCATTCCAATAAATAATTATGGAGATGTGGCTTCATGACAGTCTTCAGTAAAATTTCTGGCACCAACTCCAATGGAGGTTAGAATTTGGCTTGAACAACTAATTCGAACTTGATAGTTAAATTAAAACCAGCCGTACAATTTCTTCAAAGATGGGTCCATTAATTTTACCATACCCCAAACTTACTTTCGGGCAAAATTTGCTGACATTATTACTGCTATAAAACGGTATTTAAGGATATTGGGTCACATTCAAAGCTCTTCACAATCAAAATAAAAACTAGCCGTATAATCTATTTTCATAGTACAGTTGGATTCATCCTTGACTCCCAGTTGGGGATACCAGGTGCAATTTCCAGACAAGACAGAAATGGTTGGGCATGTTTCCTTTCGCCTAATGCATACGTTGACCTAGCAGTAAATAGGTTCCTGGGAGTTAGGCCACTGTGGTAGAGCTATATCCTGGTTAAGGTTAGTAGTTCAACGTTGATACTGTACCAGCCTAAATGGGAATTATCTACTTTTTCTCATGCCAAAACTTCTTAATGATCATGATGAAATATTTTGAAAACCTCTTCCAATTAATAATCTAGGAGATATGGCATCAGCCATTACCAGATTACCATTTCTGGCACCTCTAATTACCCATACCGAATTAAAAAAAAAATATTGAGAAAAAAATTATCTGCTGGAATTTACTACAGTATACGTAACCAGATTTCACCGTGGCTCTGTTTAAATAAATGCCCAGATTCCAAAGATCAGAATTTGGAGGAGATATCGGGTATGCAAAGTTGGTCCATTACTTAGAGGGTTGTATGGATTCCTTCGTGCCTCCTTTTGATAATACCGTAACTCACTTAAGAGCGTTGTATGGTGGTCCAGATTTTGAGGGTGCCTCTGTAATCATAAAAGTTTCCTTGTACTGTACTGTACAATATATCATACCTTTGTACTGTAGTACTAAAAATAATAATGTATAGAATAATTATAAAATTATGAAAAAAAAAATACTATTATTACTATAAGCAGTTGAATTTACAGTTCAATACTGTATATGTATGTGCACGACTACTTATGTCATTACTGGACTAGAGGTGCGTGTATATTCATGCGTGCAAATAATGCAGAGCAGTTGTGTATGCAACATTGCATGGTTGTCCTTTTACTGTTGCAGATTTTAGAAGAATACAAAAGGCAAGCAGAAGGTGACCCAGTGACAGGACTGCTGGAGGCCTTAAAGAACTGTGGACTTAACCGCCAGCGCAATCATATAATTAATGAAATTCTCGCTTAATGCCTAGTAAGGTTTTGGCCCCCCTCACTGTGATGGGTCAAATGAAGTAATAATAGAAAGCAATTTACTGCAATATGAAAGTTCTGCCAAATGTTTTAAGTCTAAAGGATCCTGAAAATTCACCGAGACATGACGTCCAGAAAACAATATAAAAGTAATGTCGCCCATTGTGGTAGATCCAAATTTTTCAGAAATAGTTTGTCCAAGACCAGGGTCATTAAGTACAGTATTTTAATGATTGTACCATGAAAACATTATTATGATTGTCTTTAAAGAGAAAATAAAAATGAAATGTTAGATCTTGGGCCTATACTGTGTATAAGAGGCTGAAATGCAAGTACCACAGTGAAAGTCAAATGAGCAAGAATACTTTTTTTATACAATAATATAAATCCTAATTTAATAATTTTGAAAACTCCATTGCTTCTTTTACAAAGGTTTCCCGGGTATGTGCTTCATGCCCTTCTGAACACGCTATTTACATTCGGTATTAAAAAGTTTTGTAACAGCAAATGTATTCTTAAATTCTAGAAATTGCCATTTATTTCTAAATACAGCAATAAATTCGTCAATATTGTACTGTGTAAATTGACAAACTTAATGAATACCATTTACATTTTAATATGATTACGGTATACAGTAGATTTTTTATCCGCACTCCAGCCGTCTGTTGACCATTTACGTAACCATCCATGCCTCGAATTGAAACTGCTAGAAATGTCTAATTGCATCAGCTTCTGGTGTTGCCTGGGCCCACATCTATAAAATATCAAATTCTGGCCTGTACAGGAATCCAAGTTATTTAATAAGCAAATATAAATTTCTGGTTTTATTTATGATATCCTATTCTAGTTTCTATAGCCCATTCATTCTTACATAAAATTATTTGAACAACTATTCAGAACGTCTCCAGTGGCAAGTTGGGTCATAGCCGAAAGGTACTAGGTTTAACTCCTGTTGCAGGACAAAAGCATTAAACCCGATGCCTCCTGTTCTAGCAGTAAATAGGTACCTGAAAGTGGCAACCATTGTGGGGTTGCATCTTGGGGCTTGTTGGTCGTTCAACACTGTGTGTGTGTGTAATTACCCAAGTGTAGTGTTTTGTTCTTAAAGTTCCAGGTCTCTGGAAATCTTCCCTATCGATTTTACCAATTCCTGTTACTATTTTGTATGTAGTGATCATATCACCTCTTTCTTCTGTCTTCTAGTTTTGGCATATTTAATGCCTCTAACCTCTCCTCGTAGCTCTTGCCCTTCAGTTCTGGTAGCCACTTAGTAGCGTGTCTTTGCACCTTTTCCAGTTTGTTGATGTGCTGCTTAAGATATGGGCACTGCATATTCTAGCTTTGGCCTAACAAAAGTCGTGAACAATTTCTTTAGTATATCGCCATCCATGTATTTAAAAGCAATTCTGAAGTTAAAAAGTGTGGCATAGGCTCCTCGCACAATATTCTTTGTGGTCCTCAGGTGATAAAGATCTAGGGGTGGTTCTAGATAGTTTTATATCAAATTCTTTAAAGATTTCTCACATAATATATAGGTTGTGTGAGGTCTATGTTCTATTCCACATTCCATAACATGGCATTTATTAACATTAAATTCCATTTGCCAAGTGGTACTCCATATACTACTTTTGTCCAGGTCATCTTGAAGGGCATGACAATCATCCAAGTTTCTTATCCTTCCTAGTGTGTGTGTGTTGGGGGGGGGGGGGGGGGTGCTTTAAAAGCTTACTGGGTTGTCCATTATGGTAAACTTAGTTTTAAACAAGTTTATTCCAGTTTTACAGCATTGATTATCTGGGTGATAGTTACCTCAAAAGGTGGTGATACAGTTTTTGAACTCTTCCATTTTGCTAATGCTGTCATCTGAAATAAGTAGTTTATAATGTGATGTTCAATTCTATACTTATTGCTTTGGATTTATTGTACTGTAGTTCTGATGTCACTCGTCTTTCATCTTTTTGCTCCTGTATTAGTATCCTGTGTAACAACACAGCTGCCCACCGTGAGTGCCCAGCCCTCCAAGGTGGGCCTGGCATTTCCCACGAGTGTGCACTCACTAAATTGTGTGTACTCTTCAGTTTTCTTGCATATTTTCTTTTTCAATAGTTCATTTTGATACTGTTCAAAATAGAATTCTCTAAAGGGATATACCCAGTACTGTGCATACAAGGGCAAATGGAAAGACCAACATAATAAAAACTTATCTTTCCACAGTATTATAAAAGTATTGTCCTTTTTCTGAACACAGTTTTATCCATTGGGAGTTTACCTTTTGCATGTAGCTGAAGATAGTTTGGTGCACCATGCTGTAATCTGAGTACCAGAGGTGTATACACTTTGTATAAGCAGCTTTTCACCCAGTTGAACAGTTATAGTAGTTATCTATATATAAATGAATCAATGAAGCCCATAACCATTTGAATTGAAGACAATTCCTGCAGACTAGTTACATCCATGATTTTGAAGTGTGTGATTCAGCTAGCATGTACAGCTTTACTCCATACTTTAGCTTTCAAGGTTAATAATCCAAAAACTTAACATTGTGCCTTCATCCAAAAATGTTTTGAAGATTGTATAATTGTTTTGCATTTGTGTAATAGATATTCCATGAATGTTTTAACTTTAGTCTGTCTTATTGTCTTTGGGAATGGCAGTGTTACAAGTATGAAAATACTTTACTTTTGATATTAATCGATTGCATTGAAAAAAGGTACATGCCACAATTTACCCATTTGCCAGTAAACTCATCATTGGCATCTTCACAACGCCCATAAACATTTAATCCAAAATATCTGGCAAGCTCTTACACCTCATTCATTCCATTTACTGTTTGTTAGAAGCATTAGACATGCTTTGTGATGCACAAAGATGTGATGCACCAAACTATCCGAAGAAATATAAGAAAATTCACCTTCGCAAATAGAGTGGTAGACGGTTGGAACAAGTTAAGTGAGAAGGTGGTGGAGGCCAAGACCGTCAGTAGTTTCAAAGCGTTATATGACAAAGAGTGCTGGGAAGACGGGACACCACGAGCGTAGCTCTCATCCTGTAACTACACTTAGGTAATTACACTTAGGTAATTACAAGTTTTACAATGTACCATAAATTTCAGCAAATCTCTCGATAAAATACCAGAGGACAGATTGGGCACTGCACATGTGGCAGTATCAACATCACTTTCAATTTCCTCCTCCACCTGCCATTTCAGTTTCAACCACCTCACTTTAGAAACTTTCAAGATCAGAGAATTCCGAAAGCCTGGAATTTTGTTGGCGCAAGTTTCACTTTGCTGTACTCTTTGGGAACACTAATCTTTTGAGGGAGAAACAGCGTTTCTTTCCCCGCTTTCATCCTGGAGTAGCCGTGTCCTTGATCACTATCCATCTTCGAGTCAATTTAGCCGAGGAAAAATAGTGGGAACGGACACACGTGTTGGATGCAAGGGGAGGCCACAGCAGTCACTAGACACTAACAATGGGCCTACCATGTGGTGCAATGACGCCACATGGGTCATCACATACAGACATTATGCACATTTAAGACACGTCTCAATAAGCAGGGAAAAACAGAATTAAATTAATTTTGGATGCAAAATGCATCAGCCAAAAGTGTTAATATCCTGCAACATGGAAAAACTATTTTCATGTTGGATAGCATTTACTTTCATTCTGCTTATCAATTCTTAGTCAAGTGCTATAACAACTCATTTTTCACTTATTTCCTACAGCCCATCTCTAAGGTGTCTAACGATTCAATTAATTTATCTATGCATATTTTATATTTTTGTACAAATAAAACAAAGTACAGTATATATTAGTTTTATTTTTCAACTGCAAAAAATTCACATTTATACAGCACCACCTTTGATAATGAGCACCACATTAATAAACAAATTTAAAACTAGCAATATACTGTATGGTAGAGTACTTACTGTATTCAAGCTCCTAGAGCATATAAAATTTACACTTTCTCAGTACAGTATACCATTTCTGGCTGTATTTTTCCACCTCCAATATCTACAACTCAAGTCAAATGTAAACCATTTTGGGACTTTTAGGTAGTTTTAAAAGACTGTATACAGAGCACTGCTTTATGGAGGCAACTAATGCCCAAGTGAAGCTTTGAGATCATCATAATACGGCATGAATGGCAGTTTTGCTAGTAGGTATATATACTGTATTCTTACCAAGAATAGTATAGGAAGAACACTTCAAAATAATGAATAATATTCTTTCCAACAAACTTTATCCATTATAACAGTTGCAGAAACTTAACATGCACATCATATCAAGACATCAAATACTATATACATGCTGTACTGAAAATCTTGACATTTGAAAAAAGTATAACAAATGTACCAATTTAGATGAATAGCAAGCGACAAAATATTAAAAAAAATGTCCCTTTTTTTTTCCTCCACCACCTATGATTTGTGCTTCAATAACACGTAATGATTTTTATGTACTTACAGTACATGCCTAGAAATTAAGTCAATTTGCATATTATATATTGGTACATTAGATCAATATCTGCCCAAGTTTTCCAACCAGTGTATTTTGATTTTATCCATTAACAGTGTATACAAGATAAAACGGCTTGCTTTTGTATTTATGAAGGCTTCTGTAGTCATTTGCCTCGCATTCTAACATCAAAAGTTATGAATAGAAGCTAATGTACTGGTGCCCCTTATTAAATTCATTTAAAATAGACTGTGCTAAAAAAATATAAACATGCATGACTGCGTGCCAGATTTGATTTAATATAAAACTAATTTCACTATTCAATGTGGCAATATATCAAGGCATCATATTGAACATTAAGACAAAGTACAGTAATTAATTAAATTTAAAATATTCTAATTTGAAACTATTAAATATTTTTTTCTAAGTAGGTTTCATAAAATATTAAGAAAACTTAAAAATTACAGTATTACGAATTAAGAGTTATTGGATAATTAAAAATATCTCTGGGGAAAGGGATAGAAAGAATCTTGCTCATGTCTCACAGGACAGAATAGACATCTGCCTCCAATACTTCATTAAATGAACCATCTAATAAGTTTGGTCTACACGTTTTTTTTTTAGAGAGCACAGTAAAGAAAATTAGTGTAGCATTCTGCAAGACAATGTACTTTAAAATTAAATAAGTTACGAATATACTTTTTTTTTTATTTTTTAAATTTTTAAAACCAATTTAAAACTTGTTATTTGGCAGCATAACCCAGAACCACAATTTAATAAATTCAGTTTTTGCCTTCTGTGGCCAACTTTAAAGCCAACTGATGAACGTTTATGAAATATTTCTTTTGGTAGAGAAATATATATTACAAGACATTTACCTGACGTGAGGTCCCTCAAGAAACTAGCAAGAGCCATTTAAATCCAACACCACATTGCTGTCATGCCCCTGACTGCAGTCTTCTGTTCCATCATCACATCATACTGTGAGGTGGAATCTATGGAGAAAAGGAAAAATTTAATTAGCGACGTGTAATCAATGGAAAAGGCATAACCCAGCTGTCAAAATAATCTTGGAGAAATGGAAGCTGGAAAAAGCTGTAATGGTTTGTGAATAGCAATTTAGATGGTGTGGGAGATTAATCAATATTATTATGCAGTCCTTTGCCTTTTGTGAATTGTCAAAATAGCAGTTACAATATTGGGATGTGATATAACTAGTACATAATGTACAATCAAATCACATTAGCTTCAAGTTAATGTAACTATGCATTCTGGCAATTATACAGAGGGCAAAATACCGATTACTAAAAATGCACTTCAAGCACAATTGATAATTTATTAAAGCCTTTTGTATAAAGATTAAAACTGCACTTCTAACTAGTTGTTTGTAATCCACCATTACCTAACAATACACTTACCTTTTTTGGGTATTTATTAGGATGATTAGAAAATGTAGCCAAAATGAAACTGGGTATGGAATTTCAGATTCTCAAAACTGATGGAAGAATGCAAGATTCTTTGAAATATCCTGAGGTATATGATGTACAGTACTATAGTTCAATCTTGTTAATATCCAATATTCTAAATCTTCAGCTAGTCTAAAGAAAAATGCTAGTTAATGCAATGGTTACAAAAGACCTGGAAAAATATTTTAAAAAGTACCCTATAAGAGAACACATGAATTTGACATTCAAGTCATTTTGAACTTGATTGGCCTCTAGGAATTTCATTACGATTCGAGATACAAAAAGACCCATATCCCAGTAAGGAAAAGATAATGGAATGGTCTCAGCTCATACCTACTTCATACACGTCAGCATTATGCACATAAAGAGTTATGGTGATAACCCTCCCCATGAATGGTACCATAAAGCCGGCAACACAGTACATTTTTTTTCTTGTTGAAACTAAGAATCAAGTAGGTATGGCTTAAGTTTACTTAATGGTAAAAACTAAAGAATGGAATCATAGATAACACTTCATTTAGATTTTATGGACTGATCTAAAAGTTAAAGTCTAAAAATTGCTTTATGTTCCATTTTAAAGTTAATACCATATACTGTATAATGAATACGAGATGAATAAATGGCCGAGATCTTGCCACTGGCGAGGCCTTGAGGAGTAGCATCATGACTGGACACTAGAGGCACTTCACGTCCTGAAACACATGGAAAGATATACTCGCTGTTACTAAAGAGGCACGTACAATATACTTGGTCAACATTTTAATGGCCGACTATGAACGAGGAACACATTCACATTGTGCAATGAATTGACAGTAATGTATCTACGAGGAAATATTGATCTGGTCAATATTTTGTACATTTGAGGAGTCCACAGATTCAATGTAACTGTACAATCTTAATGTGAAAGTCTTGGCATATGGACTTCATCCCATTGTAGTCTACATTCTCTCCTACATGTACAGTATGTCCTTATGTTATACAACTTATAATTCTGTACATTTACAGAAACATTAATACACGTCACCAGTACTAAATATATTCAAGTACTGGTACTGTGTAAAGTCTACTATATTCTTTAAAAAGTTGCACTTAAAAATGTCAATGTATTACCGATTCACTGTAGCCAAGTTTTAAAAAAAGGCACTACAGTATACAGGAAAACCACACTATAGAATAATTAGAATGCAATAGGTTTGATGGTTTGCCATCAAGATTAACTTGCACATGTTAATGGATGAATGCAGATTAGTCTTGATAATGTGGCTGAAGATTAGATACCAAACCCACCAATTTGAAAGTTAAGAATTTACCGTGTTTTGGTCCATACCGACTATTGTATAATTACATACTTTACCAATAGTCCAAGATGTACCAAAATGCACATTTTTTCCCCATTTCAAATTTATGGGTTGGGTATTTAAGTGTATGAACTTCATAGTTAAGATATTCCTTTGACCGTTTTCTGTGTCGCCAAATATTTTGCCTCGGTTCAACTAGGAAACATTACAATTATATGGAAATACATTGAGCTCTTACACAAATTGGCACTTTACAGAACACTTGCAAGCTATGCCATTTCCAAGTTCCACACTTTGAACTTTGATTAAAAATGTTTCATTCTTCCCAAATGAATGCATATAATGCATCCTTACTTTAATACAACCTCTGAAGCAGTGAATGCACCTTATAATGGGACACTCTCACTAAATGCAGCTTCCTTTGTCAGCAAAGATCTGAAGTTAGATATGCAAGGAACCACAAAGGCAAGATTTGCATCTTAACTCTAGTCTCAGACAAGGAGAATTAACATCCAGTTGGTCCAACCAATTTAGTCATTTCAGTAGACTAAGCATGGGCCTTAATAAAATTGCACAATTACATACTTTGAAGGTCGAAGTCCAATCTCTTGATTTAAAGCGAATGAAGTGTTATACTATTATTATGGATTGGAAATTAAATTACTGTACATACATGTAGCAGGTTTGTAATGTGTACAGTAAGTATATACACACTTTGTATTTGTGTAATCACAGTATATACACAGTATAACTATCAGATTTACTTCCAGAAAGAACACACGACTTACTTGGCTCTCAAGCTATCGTATTTGGAGAAAGCTTCATCAATGTCTACATAGCAGCCCTGTAGATGCCTGTGGGGGAAAAAATAAAATGTATTTATACATTTATCACAGTACACCACATAGGAAAGGGTAGTCATGTTGGACAATGAGTTATCTTGATCTAGTCATTCTGTCCCATTGGGGTTGGTCCCATATAGTTCATTGAATCAAGGTTATACTGTAATCTGAAAAACTATTTTAATCCAAGTCATAATCTACAATGACGGCAAAAGATGACTAGTCTTACCTGTTAACCTTGGTAGCATCAAAGGCAGTGCGCCCATGAAGAACTCTTCGATTGTTAAAGGCTACCAGATCACCAGGTACCATGTTGAACTCTAGACATGCAGCTGGATCACGAAGTTTACTAGAGAACAACTGAAAGAAGCACTTTCTAATTAACTTTGGCACATGGGAAAATATTGCAACAGCTGACACTTTATAATTTCCTTTATTATGATTTGCATGTTCACATGTTAAATGTTTTAGGTTTTACAAGGCTACCGATTTCACCTTTCCCAATCTGGTTCAATATATTGAATTTCGTTATACTGTAAAGTAATTTAGCTGCTAGCAAGTAATGGTAGAGGCATCTTGCAATCTTGAGGATGGGTTGCATGTTATTTCCATGTAGGAATAGGTTTTCCCGTTTATGAACAAAATTTAATGCGCACACAACATCCGATAATACTGTAGATTTCCTCAACCATTGTGGTATGCACCGTTTTTTGGCAAAATATTTCCATAGTGCAGTTAAGAATACACACATTTATAAATATTCAGCTAGTGTCAAAATGTTTCCAAAGTTGACACTTGTAAATTGGGAATATATATACACACATTCTGTACACGACCCACAAGCACTGGTGGAAGGGCAAAGTGGTCCTACACCTTACACTCCAACTTCAGAATATATTACGGCGAGATGTCTGCATTTCTGAACTTGGGACACAAGGTGTAGGACCACTGCCCTTCCAGAGTGCTTGTGGGTTACACTTAGACTAGCTTCAGTAGAGGCTTTCAGACTTCCTATAATTTCAGTAGAAACACAGCTGTACAATTTTCACAAGTTTGTGGTGGTTTAGTGGCAGAGTACGTGACTGGCAGTGCTGGCGGTTGTAGGTTCGCACCTACTTAAGAGTCCTAGTGGATTTTCTAATTATTGTTACTGTATTACAACACTGCAAACAAGGCATGACTAGGTGTATCTCATCGAAACTTAATACCGAACAAGTTACAGGATGTCTATTCCTATATTTTCTTCAGAAGGTCAGATGCAACACAAAGGCAATGGTTTCATGCTCAAGCCACACTGTAGGACTGAGAATATTAAAAGTTTAACCCACAGGGTTATCAACTGAACTGCCTACCCACCAAAGCCATAACTACTAAAACTGCCAAATTTTAAAATATACCTGGAAAAGATAAAGGCAAATAGGCCCCCCCCCCCCCAAACAAGCCACTGGCTTCCTGTCCACATTCTTCCTAAGCATTAAAAAGGAAAAATCCAAGTACAGTACTGTAATATCTGTGCTACACAGTTCCAGCACTGCAGTGTTAAAATTAGTATTGCTTTAGTTCATGTTTTATTTTTATTAACATTGTAGGCCCCGAGTTAAGCAATGCATTGGGGGTGCTACACAGATGATAGACCCTGCCAGTCTGCTAAATTGCAAAATTATTACCTAGTTACAACAAAATTTATAAGAAATTTGTGCACAAGCTATTTTAATGCCAGGCCTTTCCAGCAAGGTCTAGTAATTTTCCCCACAAGAGATCTCGAAAATATATAGTACAATGAGGGCCACAATTGCAAGGGCAACTGCCCAGTGTGCCCATGCTTTAAGACTACTGTTTTAGTGTAAACTATGGATCTAATTATTGTACAGTACCTTGTATGCATGGTAGAATGGCGTGACAACATGTGTGGGTGCCTGAAGAGGCTTCATTGTGCGGTTATTGTAATGCACCTCTGTCACATCCCCGTCACTGTTTGTGCACAAGATGGGCCACAGAGCCGAATACTGCCGACCTTCATTCTTTATGGAAAATCTGGAGAAAGACAAAAATGTTTTGTCATAGGCATCTAAAGGATTTTAATGTGTGAACAGCTCACTGTTATCACTTCCTACAACCAAGCCATCCTATGGTAACCCAAAATACTGTTAAAGTAAAAGTAAATATTGCATTTTTGTGGACTTGCCATGTAGGGGAAAATAGGGCAATTCAGTGATGGTTATCTCTGGGAAGAGATTCGGGCCTACTCCATTATCACCTATTCTCATACCACATTTACCTATTCAAGACCTGCAGCCTTGAGAACAACAACTCGCAAACATCTAGACAGCGGACTACCGCCCCTACACCACAGCCCGTCATCCTCCTCGCACCTGGGAGCTCACGCCACTGGCCAGGGAACTAGCCCAGTGGTAGTTAGCGCGAGCCGGTTCCCTAGTTATCTTTACTCCAGTGCCACCTGGACGGCCATCGTTCCATATATGTGGAGGCTAGCCAGCTCCAGCAAGCCAGATTACTCGGTGCTCTACTGACTAGACCTGTTTACATACCTGTGTGGTAATAGATTTATACACAGTCTTGGCTCGGTATTCCCACAATTTTCCAATTTGCACATCAACGTAAATTTGATAGTCTTTTGATTTGCACTTTGTATAAAGCCAAGCTTTGATATTGTGTTTTGTAGTTTAACATTCAGTATTAAGTTTGTCTTATCCTACAGTTCTCACAATGAAGTTAAATGGCAGTAATTTTTTTCACTTGTTTTTTTGTTTAATATATGGCTGACATGCTATCTGCCCTAGAGGTTCTTTACCACCATTCATTTTTTCCCATCTATTAGCTTTAGGCCATACCCTCATGGATGTGTATTAACAATATCTGTTATATTGTAACAGATATTGTTAAGAGATCAAGATCCCCCCCCCCTTTTTTTTACAGTTGGATTTTAAAATTTAACTAGGAAAGATCATAAAGGCAAATAATTGTTGTGGGGGGGGGGGGGATTATCAACAGGCCTCGAGTATTTATACAAGCTTCCTGTCCCAAACAAAATGAATCAATACCTGCCAAGTACCAAGCTACACATTTTAGCAAGGAAGTAACATCTCAAGTAGGGAATTTCTTACAGGTAGGCATCTACAGTATACTTCAAGATGCTACTCCACTACAGAGAAACTACTGTACTTGCAATATTAAGAACTACCTGCCATGTAACTACCCAAAAATGTAGACACTTAAACTGTACCTGACAGGTGTAGAGGCAAGGACATGGAAAGCTGCTGGCTCATTTTCTTCTAGCCATCTAGCAATTCTGAAGCCATCAGTAAAGAAGGATCGTCCACCTGGGTCAGAGCCAGAAAGTTTGGGGTCGTTGGCCTGTTAGAGAAAATCCAATATTTAGGAAGCCCTGAAAATTATGTAGACTTTAGCAATTCAAGAATTATTTTAACCCCACCATCCCCCACACTATCACAATTTTTTTGTTGTATACAACATGTGAAAGTACTTTGAGACAGTGGAGAAGCTGCATCCCAGGACTCTTCTCCCTGTAGTTCATGTCTGTGTGATGAGCCAGGGCAACACCAGTATATGCCAGATGTGAACCTTCCACTGGCTTGTTGATTACGTCAAATGTGTGACCATATTGGGTCTCTTTCACATAGGCAAATCTTTTCACAACATCTACAATTTTGTTAACCTTAGGTGGCACTCCACGGAGAACGGCAACACCATACTGAAAAAAAAATCAAAACTTTAGAAAAGGCACTTATCTTGCAAGTACTGTATAGCATGCAAGAATTTTTCACAATCAGTATTCTCTATTAAATAACAGCTTAAAATAAGCAAGATTTAGTACATCATAATGTACCATATTGAAAACTTGCCCTGTAAAACATATCCAGCCACTGTTTGAGACCACTGTCAGTCTCCATCACCTCATTATAAGACATTTCGGGGAAGCTGGACCAGATGGTTGTCCGATCCCACAATTCAAATTCTGGGCGTTGGGTCAACAGCTCCATGTCCATGCTATCACTAGCAAATTTATTGTGCATGAAGGATTTCCCATACTTTAATAGCCTGTGAACAAGAACATTTTCTTAACACACATTTTGCACCTACCCATGTCAGTTTTGTTTTGCCCAGTAACATGTGCAGTCAACTAGCAGACCTTTATGTAAAAGGACAAATTCCTCAGCTTGGCAACTTTACTAACCATTACTAAACACTAATTCCATGCCATCTCCATAAGCAATATACAATGGTGTAGGGAACTAAAACCTTAATGCACTTAACTACAGCAATATAATACTAGTCACCAACACAGATTAGGAGACTTTCATGCAATCCATCAGAAGTAACTTTGGTAAAAATCTCTTAAAACAGATTAGAGCTTAACCAATGAACATTATCCTCCACTAAACTATTAGAATGCTTCAAGATGTCTAAGAAATAAGTACCATGCTGGGTCATATTCTGACTTGTGATTCTCTCCTTCCTCAGACCAAATGATCTCTAGTTTGCCTGCATCATTCATGGTAAGGGAGAGTGGCTTTATGTTCACATCGAGAGTTGGAGAGTCCACCAGTTTCTGGCTTGTGCTGGGGTCCACACATCTAGGGCACTGGCAATTGTCCCTCAGCTGAAAAGGAAACACCAAAGGGTAAGAAGTTAATTATGAGGAGAAAGTACTAATACAGTACAGGTATGACTAGCAATTTTAAGGGATAGGGGTACAGGTAGGGAGGGACTCTTCCCCAGCCACTTTGATCATGGGGGATCAAATGCAGACTTGCAAGGAGAAATGTCATTGTATCAACCAGACCAAGTGATTGGGTTGAAGGAATATCGGCACACCACCTATTAATCAATGATTTCACTATCTTGGGGAAGTTGACTTAGAATATCCAAAATATTTAATTGTTATTGCTGTAGTTAGAAAGGAAACTACACAAGGAAATTGCATTAACATTATGCATCAGTAATAAAATTAGTTGGAGCCAAGATTGTGGTTCAATTTGTAGCACATATATAGTCCAGGTGTTAAGGCGTGTGCTCGAGTGTCCAGGGTACAGGTTCAAATCCTCCTCATGGCCAACACTCAAAAAGGAAGCTATACTGTGTGCATTAACTAACAACGACACTGGCATTTAAGCCAAATGAAAGGATTTAAATGTATAGTACAAAAATGTTAAGTCACTGTAGCCCAGGCATAGCAAATTTATGGCGGCAGGTCAATCTACCAAGATATGTACAAGAATAACTGCTGATGCGACTGTACAGTATTGTAGAAGTCACCGGTTGAACGAGTGCACTATTTAGATAAATAGTGTAAAGTATACCAACGATTTTATTACGACAAATTTAAATTGTTAATTTGTCTAGGCTTTCTGGCTACTTTCTGTATGAAAGTACTGAAGTAATTATGTATAACCCTAAGAATGTCACCCTCACCCTTTCGGGAATTTTACCCGAAATCTCTAAGTTGTGAACCCACTGCACCAACTACTCTTTCCCACAACCAGAGCCTCGAGGGTCAGGGCAAGACACCGTAAAATTCTTCCAAAAAATCCATCCACAGCCATATTAAAAAATATATTCCAAATCCAGTTGCATAAAATAGAAAAATGGGTGTGACCTTTAAAAGCTGCCAGCTTCCTTTCCCCATTAAGGCCATCATGTTGGTCTTCAAGCAAATTCAGGTACATCGTAAACAAGTATGTGCATACCCAGATGTACTTGAAGTCAGCCGTGGTGTCAGTGTCGAAGATAACTTTGGTGGCAAGATGGTGGGCAGGCAACACAGATGTAATAACGGGCGGGGTAGCAGTCGAATCGGTCTTCATTGTCGAGGGCACAGCCGTTGACTTGCCTGAGTAAATAGGATTACACTAGAAGCTGCTATATGGTGTAATGAGTAGGTGGTGTGGTGGTGTGCATGGGTATATTTGTGTACCTTGTGGTACAAGTAGACATGATTTATACAATTTTACAAAACAAGAGGGGGATAAATCTTTAAAAATACAATTTAGAACCGAATTTACTTGAGGGGCACCAACACTAGAACAGGAAGCTGCCAGCTTTTCAAAATCTTTCCCCTCCGTCCCATTTGCCTTTATGATCTTTCCTAGTTAAATTTTAAAATCCAACTGTAAAAAAGACCATTAAGGCAAATGGGGAGACCTTCAATAAGCCACTGGCTTCCCGTCCTTGGGGGCCACTAGTGTTAGTGGCCCTCATGTAAATTTAATTCAAAATTGTGAGGTTTTTAGAAGGGTTTATCCTCTCATGGATAAACAAAGTCCTTTTAACCCGTCATGTTAAGAACATAAAACAAAAAGATTCAAATTTGAGAAGTTTAGGTACAGAAAGAAATAAGTAACCAGATATTTAAATAAGGTTGCCATTTTATGTAACAAGCTATAGCAAATGGAAAACTAAATGGTGAAGCATTGGTTGAACAATAAGTGGCTAAATATAAACTGGAGCTGCCCGACAGACCAAAACTATGTTCGTTAATGCTTACATTAATATGCAACCTTTGGGTCCAAATGACACTGTTTTAATTGCACCCACAAAGTTGCATTGAGCTGTATCAGTAGGTCTAGCACTTGGCATGAAGTGTGTAGAGTTCATTATTGGCATGTTTAGACACTGGTATAGTATTTGCCATAATTATGCTTAAAGACATGACAGATTAAGTACCTCCTAGAAAGCTGTAGTAAATTTTGAAAGAATGCACTATATATATTAGCAAATGCCCAATTATCAATTATTTTTTATCAAATGGCACACAAGGCTTTTGAGTCTTACCTACTGTACTTCATCCCTCATGGATCATAAAGGCTATTCACCATGTTCCTTGCTCCGCCTTCTCCCCAACTACACACTTGCCAACTAAATAATTCTCTAAATTTAGAATTTAGAGGTACAGTCTATAAGACTGTACCTCTCAATTTGTTTAAGATAAAAACTAAGGACTACCTAATAAATTCCCTGTAGCCTACCTTACCCCTATATTGTCAACATTTCTAAACAATGCCATTTGTCAACCTAATTGTATTTGTGCATTTTTCTGCCATGTTCCTTTTTTATTTTTTCTCTACACTTTAATCTCAGTATCAAGTATTGGTCTTCAATGTTTTTCCTGCCTGAAACGCTTTGCGTAGTGGCGGCTTTAGGCATTGTATGTACAGTACTAGCTTTATCTATAAATATCAATTTTTGTAAAACCTCTTTTATGCATGTACTTTACCTGAATAAACATTTATAAATGTTATGCAATAGTGCAACTTAAGGCTGGCGTCATGTTCAAATACAGATGACAATTATGTATGCTAACTGATAAGTTGAACTTAAACAAGCACTTAAAGCTCTTTGTGGTCTAGTGTTCAATAACCAATTATTCTATTTACTGTTGCCATTATCCAACTTTATCCACAAAAAAAAAAAAGCACAAAATAAACTAACGATTCATCTTTCACAATGTAGGCATTAGGTAAACAACCTAAGCTAATGTAACCCTTGGGTAGTAGAACAAGTCTATACTGTATACCCAAATTTGTTATACAAAGAGGTGGCAGTTACTTGCTACAACCCTTGATACATGGCTGTACACTTAATACTGTAGTGTCTTTCAACTTCCACAGCTGGTACACCATGTGCAATGGGTCAACTTTCGTGCATGCGAGACTAGACCGACCTCTAGCATGATTGGCCCTCGAGGACTGTAGGATAGGCACCGCCACCCGCCGCACCACCACCATCGACCACCTCATCGACATCTTGTGGTAAGGGGTTCTGAAAATATATACCAATATCAAGACTAGATAAAATAAACTAACACGCTGTAAGAGTAAGAGAGCGGTTAATCCTAATAACCCAATAGTCTGGTAAATTAATGAATCGTGGCAAAATGCATGGGCAAATGGCAGGAGTAATTTGGTAGATCACAGCAGACAGCAAGCAAAAATATGAAATGCAAGGGGTAAATAGCCATATATAACCATATTAGTTGGGTTTTTGGGCTGCTGATAAACTTTTCAAACTTTAATGGCCATGGGGTGAGGCCCCCCCCTCCCCCTGATGTATTACTAAAAACACAGTACATATTTGATAGTAAAGTAAGAATGTACTACCTTACCCTAGTACCTGCAGGAGGAAATCTTTAAATCACAATGTAAAATCACTAATACAAGCCATTAAGAAAAATTACTAACCATGTCCTCAAATACACCTTATTTCTTTAATTAAACAGTTTAGGCTGTCAACAAGTAATGTAATCAATCATTAACATACCTAAAGTAATTGCAGATTAACTCATGGATATAATACAAAGACTTTACATCATGTAACACTGCCCTTCCCCAGTTGTGCAGGTTTGGTTTTATGAATCCAAGGCCAAAAGATTCTTTGTACCAGAGACACTAATCGAGAAAAAAAAAAAAAATTACTGAAGCAGGATAAATTGGACCAGCAGCCTGGATAACACTAGATGTGCACCTTAACCCCCATGGACCATGACATGCTAAAGATTATATAACCTGGAATCTGCCCCCAATTTTTTAACCTGTGGAGGTATGTGCGCACACCTCCACAGGTTGCAGGCCACAACATCTGCAACTCTTGTACCCATTTACTGCTAGGTGAACAGAGGCATCTGCCCTGGATCAAGACAAAGTCGAGGCAATGCTCATAATATAAAGCAGCCTAAAACCCTAGGAATAATCAATAGTACCTTTACTTTCAAAGAAAAGTTAGTTCTATTTTATAAGTCTCTGGTGTGGGCACCCCCCCCCCCCTGGATTATTGTATCCAAGCATGGAGACCATTTTCAGACAAACATCTGCTCTGGAGAAGGTACACCACCAGGCAACAAAAATCATACTAGAGCCAAGCCTCATTGGGAACAATTGAGGGCCACAGGGCTAACACTGCAAACCAAGCATGACAGATGTTATTGACACCTTTAATATGTTGAACAATTTGAAGGATGTTAATCCCGTTAATTTCTTCCAAAGGCAGATGTAACAAGGAGCGATGTGTTCAAGCTCAAACCACAATGTAGGACAGAACATAATTTCACCCACTGTCATTAACCTGTGGAACCTCCTACCTGCTGAAGCTGTAAGTGCCAAAACACTGTTGGTTCCAAAATTCAGCTGGAAAAGTTCAGGGCAAATGGGGGGGGGGGCCAGGGGGGGACATGACAAGCCACCAGCTTCCAGTTCTCAAGGATCATCCCAGAGATGGCCACATTTACAGTGCTAATCAGCATATATACATGCTCTCCTGTCCTACATGGACAGGGTTAGAGATGTGTTAAAATAGTTCAGGGATTTATTGAACAATCAACCACAAGGCAATTGGAGTACTTTTAAAATGCTAAAATAACTTGCACGTATAAAAAAAAAACTGGTTATGGGGCAAATCCCCCCCCCCCCCCCACCCCTCTGCTTCCTGTAGCTCAGCCAAATATTACTCTGGTAACCAGGACAGCACATCTATCACGTTTAGCCGACCCGGTAAGTGGATAATGGAAAGATTAAAGTCCTGTAAGTAGGAGTAACTAGTAAAGTGCTCCAGTGGATAAGGGAATACCTAAGCAATAGGAAACAGTGAGAGGCAAGACCTCAGATTGACATGAAGTCACCAGTAGAGTCCCACAGGGCTCTGTACTCGGTCCTATCCTGTTTCTGATATACGTAAATGATCTCCCAGAGGGCATAGACTCATTCCTCTCAATGTTTGCCGACGATGCCAAAATTATGAGAAGGATTAAGACAGGAGGACTGCTTGAGGCTTCAAGAAGACAAACTAAAGGAATGGTTGAACAAATGGGTGTTAGAGTTTACCCCAAGCAAATGCAATGTAGATAAGTGTAGGGAGCAGGAGGCCAGTTACAAGGCATCATTTGAGATTAAATTCTTCGAGTCAGAAAGACCTGGGGGTTTACATCACACCAGACCTGTCCCCTGAAGCCCATATCTAGAGGATAACAGCAGCATATACCAGGTTGGCTAACATAAGAATGGCATTTAGACACTTGTGCAAGGAATCATTCAGAACTTTGTATACCACCTATGTCAGACCAATCCTGGAGTATGCAGCCCCAGCATGGAGTCCATATCTAGCCAAGCACAAGACTAAACTGGAAAAGTTCAAAGGTTTGCCACCAGACTAGTACCCGGGCTGAGAGGTATGAGCTACGAGGAGAGACTAAGGGAATTAAACCTCACAGTGCTAGAAGACAAGAGTTATGGGGGATATGATCACCATGTACAAGATTTTCAGGAATTGACAGGGTAGATATAGGCTATTTAACACAAGGGGAACACACACTAGGGGGGACAGGTGGAAACCGAGTGCCCAAATGAGCCACAGACAGAATTTAGCATCAGAGTGCTTGACAAATGGAATGTATTAGGCAGTGATGTGGTGGAGGCTGACTACTCACAGTTTCAAGTGCAGATATGATAGAGTCCAGTAGGCTCAGGAACCTGTACACTGACAGTTTAGAGGCAGGACCAAAGAGCCAGAGCTCAACCCCCGCAAGCACAAATAGGAGAGTACAAACACTAGCTTCAGTGACCCTCGGGTAAGTTAGGAAACATTGACCGTTTTATTGTTAACTGGATTTATGCAGCAGACTTGCCCACCAGGTATAGACGTGACCACTGGAATATCTAGAGATGTGATAAGCTGTAAGATGTGTTATACTATCTTGTGTGCCTCTTACAGCTTCGAAGATATCCATATCATAGTTACGAAGTTCAGAAGCATGTCGATCCCAAGGTCTAAGTTTTGCACGAGAATTATTATATACATCCCTTTCTCTCCCCCCCCCCCCCCCCCATGGTCTGCCGATCTTCACTAGAGTAACCACACAACAGTTGCCCAACTCCCTAGTACCTATTTACTGCCAAGTGAATAGACACATCAGGTGGAAGGAAACTTTACCAATCATTCTTGTTCCCACCCGGCAATCTTTCTAGAACGTAGGCTACTGTGCTAAACCTCCATTGTATGCCCCTTCACGGATTGACAGAACCAATGAGAGTATGCCAACTCTAAGTCATGCTTTGGACACATCAAATTGTGAAAAGTCATGCTCAGATCACAAAACTTATGAAACTGCTAAACAATGGACAACTGTTTAGAGTTAAAGAGGCCACAGTTATGCAGGACAGACCATTCCCCCCCCCCCCCCCCCCCCCCCCAACCCAACCACTTTGACTGGGCGGTAGAGCGACGGTCTCGCTTCATGCAGGTCGGCGTTCAATCCCCGACCGTCCAAGTAGTTGGGCACCATTCCTTCCCCGTCCCATCCCAAATCCTTATTCTGACCCCTTCCAAGTTCTACATAGCCGTAATGGCTTGGCGCTTTCTCTTGACAATTCCCTTCCCCCCCCCCCCCACCAAAAAGTTGTAAATCAAGGAAATTTTCTACTCTTCGAAGCCATAAGTGACAAATGCTGACGAATTTTGCAAAATCAGACATTTTAGATCTTTGACAAGACGCAGTCTTTGTTGAGGTGACTAGTAAGCGGCCCTCTTAGTAAAGTCATAATTTCAGTTTGGCATAAACTAATATTTTAATAAGTCATATCACTAGAAATTAGAAAAATGCGAATATTTTTTTTCACCACACTTCGAAATCTAGGCTAGTGCACCTGTCTTTTCAGGGGTAACTTACGGGAAAACCCCCAATTGTTAAACCTGCCACATCTTTGTAAAGACCAATAGTCTTACTTCCCAAACCACAATTAGTGTGCGAGCCCTTTAGGTTATCTCTAGATGATTTCGGGGCTTTTTTTAGTGTCCCCGCGGCCCGGTCCTCGACCTTCCCTAATCTAGAATTTATGTCGTTGCAACAGCAGTCATTTGCCAGATCAGAAATAGTTGTACTTACCATTGTGCGAAACAAGAAGCCTATAGGTCCTCACCAAGGACGGCAGCCACACTTGTCGCCTAACGACCGGATGCCAGTTTACCGCTAGGTGAATAGAGGCATTAGACGAGAGAATGTAACTCGCGCATCTCTTACCACCAGGGACTAATGCGCTAACCAATTCTAAAGTCCTTTGTTATGTACAATCTAGAGTTTTACAACATTTATTGCTCCCTTTCATTATACAAGGGACACTTCCCCAGCACTCACTAGAATTAAGGCAAGGGACAAGAAAGGTCAGTCTTCCATCTTCGGCCGGCTAACAGTCATTAAACGCCTTGTTTTTCTACATTTCAAGAAACCATTTTAGTTGGCAAACCTGCACGCTATTATCAATTAATTTAAACCCCACTTCAGCTGGGTTCATAAACAGTCTAGTGTTATTTCAAGGACACTTACACGCTTCAGGATAGCCTATCTTGAGATATCTATTTCAATCAATTGAAAAGCTACACTATGACCTTACACAGTGAAGGTTATACAGCAAGTTTCTAAAATTAGGAATTAAATTATCCATAGGAGACACCTTTATTATGCAAGATACAACCCGCAAATACAAATCTCCAATCAAAATATAGAACTGGATTGGGTAGCAAACTAAAATATCTAATGTGGATTACCAAAAAGTTTTGATAAGCCTGTCACGCAGGAAAGGTGGCTATAGGGTTTAGTCAATTTAGGATCAATTCTCGGGCGGAACAGAAGTGGTTGGGAACATTACTATTATTAATTGCCTGTTCACCAAGCAGTAACTAGGTACCCGGGAGTTAAACAATTAGTGTCGGGCTGCAGCCTGGGAAAGGTTAATGTGATCTTTTGAGAGTGATACAAGCCTAAAGAGTATATACAAGTTTCTTTACTTTCCATTAATTGTCTAGTCAAACAAAGTTAAGACCAAGTTTAATCCCCCTCCCCCAATACAAGCACGTTGATTTATCTTCAACCTGTCCTTTAGCTGAATTTTAAATATTTTAAATTTTACAAACAGTATTAGAAATCAAGAGCACCTAAATGATTGAAAAAAAAAAAACATACGGTTGTAAGAAACCCAACAGCATCATTCACTAGACAAGACGCGGTCGCAGCTTACATGTACAGTAACCAAAGTTATTCCAACCTTAACCTAACTTCCCCCCCCCCCCCCCCCCATCATAACGTAAGGAAGCCCAATAGATTGCATTTAGTCGGATAATTAAGACAGTTTAGTATACCTCTGTAGTCCGATCCAATATTTAAATAAATCTTCCCGGGTAGTCAGTTTTACACATTCTGTTGTGCAATAGGCTAGACGTTAAGGAATTAACGAGGCAGACAATTCAGCCAACAGCGGCTCCAAGGCTGTACCTAGTAGCCAAGGCGGCCAGGGTCCCGTACCTCGTTGTTTAAGATTCAGCTACTGGGAACAAAAGGCTCCAGGTAGCACGGGCTATGGTGAGCCCGTAGTGGACTGTACAACAAGACCCTACACTACGGCCTCAAGCCGAGCACGCTCATTACACTAAAGAATATTGCAGCAAGTGTTTCTGCCCCATTTATTGTCAGACTATATGGCATGGCAGAAGTAGATGAAACTAGCGTATATAATTTACATATTCCCTACATATAGCTATTAGGGTAGTTTTCCTAAATTTCAGTAGTTTGTGCTTCATGTTAATTTTTCTTAAGAGGACAAGGAGGGGAGTGGAAGAGGGAAGTGTAATAAGAGGAGAGGGAAGAGCGGGGGGGGGGGTGTGAGAAGTCTAGTTAGGTTCGTTAATAAATAATTCCTGGTATACGGAATGCTAAAATTACATGGAAGATTTAGACACGCGTGGGTTCACCTCACCGCATCACTTTTCTTTAGGATGGGTAGTTCTTAATCTTTAAGGATGATCTATATTAGGACAAGTTAAACGGGTGCTTCAGTTGTCGAACTCTAATCCAAAGTTGACACGCTAATTGTAACTTTCATCCATGACTGCCCTCAGCGCTAAGGCATAAATTACGCGCTTGTCTCTGAAGCTAGACAGTGAAATAATGATGGAGTCAGTTTGTCTCCTGTGGATTCCTTCCCATATTGGTCTCCGAATGCATGATAGCACTGATGAGTTGGTCAAGACTTTCTTGTAAAGAGGGAATTGATTACCAACTTTGACTGCCTTTGAGCAGCCCGAGGGCACCAATAGTCCAGGATTTCAACTAAATTTCGGAGACCTTAGGCAAAGTGAAATTCACACCAGTTACTCCATCTATCATTCTATTATGCAGGAAGAACCGCACGTCTATGGGTCATCCAATAATGTTAGCAGACTTCTAGACGTTACCACTGCTAGGCTTAGGCTCTGCTACAAGTACCTCTTGGAGCTTTTAACATCTGCCGATGTAGATTTGACTAAATGTAAACCGTCAGTAGAACTATTCGCAGACTGCGTCGTTATATAATGGAATGTGAAAAAAATAGCGGAATTTAGAGATAACACCATCAATAGTGTCCAAGAAATGTGTAAGTACTTCATAATTATGTGCTGGCCGAAATCTTCGCAAAGTATCGAAAATTTGCTTACTGTAGGTGCAGCATGCACACGACTGTAGAGCTGCCGCCCAGTTGGGTGGGTGTGCAGCAAGACTAGCAACTGTGCTACTCATAGATGTAAAGTGCCTTGTATAGTGACAAGCATCACTTAAGATTATTGACTTGTATTTGTGGGAGTGATTAAATATGTATGTATGTATACACATGCTGATACAAACACACGAGTGTACATGTATATACAACTAATTTTGTAATTAGCGTAAAAAAAATTATTTGCTTAGCTAAACGAACTAGAGGGTTCAGTTCCTGAACTCATTATGTGCCTCTAATCCTTTACACCACCGCCCACGGGATGGGTATGGGGTGCACAAGAAAAATTTAATACGGGTATCTTCCCGCTGGGTCAATGGCGGGCCATTAAACAGCCGAATATTCTCTGCGAGGGCCTGTAATAAATTTCTCTACTTCAACACAACCGAGGATCCCCGCTTCGACTTTAGAGGCAAATGTTTAGGACGTTTCCTTTTACGTAATGCCTCTGTTCATGTAACCAAATAAGATGAAACTCTTGGGGAGGCAGCAGACCTAAGGGCACCTCTAACCTCACGTACAGCCTCTTCCCCAGTAGTGAAATGGGAGTTATAATTGGCTTGAAAGTTTACAAAGCAGGAGTTGGTCGTAATGTTAGTTTACCCTCTTACTGGATTATGTATTTGAGACATTTATCAAATTCAAGTGTTATTCTGGTAAAGTACACATACAAGGCGAGATACAAACATTGATGGATTTATAGATAGAGCCAATACATACAATGCCTAAAGCTACTATTACGCAAAGCGTTTCGGGAAGCGCTATCTACGTGGGTAAGAATACTGGGAATATACCTCCCTGTACCTTGCTTCAAGCAGTTATAACCATCGTAGCCGTTCTTGGTAATCATGTTGCCAGGAGCAAGTCTGGGAGGTGGATGGTAACCATAGAGAAAGTTAATGTGGCCTCCCATCACCCGCAACTTAACCTTGTACAGGACAGTAGGTTGCCAATTTCGATTTGTATGATCTAACGAGGTCTTTCAACACTTCATCCGGGACGAGCCTTTTTTTTTAAAGGTTTGTATCGAGGCAAACTTCAACCCTCAAATGATGAAACTTACCATAAATTCTAATTCCCGGGTACTTTGCTGCTAGATGAACAGCCATTTGTCGCTCGGGAATCTTAACCCAGATTGCGAGTCTGGACCGTAGACCACTGTACCACAGAATTCCCGAATTATATATTTAACAGATCTCTAACCCTGTCCATGGAGGAAAGAAAATGTATATACATTGGTTAGCATTGGAAGTGTAACCACGTCTGTGGTGTGTATAAAAAACCGTAAGATCTCTTTAGGGGGAAAAAAAAAAAAAGACAAGCGATTCTTTTCTAGTAGGTTCCTAATCCTCTCAAACAGTGCTCTTAACTGAAGACTAATTACGCAATATACATATATAATTAATATAGCCTATTTGGCCGCTTGGACAGCGCTTCAGATTCGAAGTCCTGAGGTTTTGAGTTCGATCCCCGATGGATCTAGAGAAATGGGCAAAAAGTTTTCACCCCGATGCTCCCGTTACCTAGCAGTAAATAGGTAACAAAAAGGATTAGTCGAGGACCGGACCGCGGGGACGCCAAGACCCGAAATCATCTCAAGATGACCTCAAGATAGCCTAGTGCTATCGCTCTTTTACTTATGGTATTCAAGGACCAAACTCCCATCACAGCATCACAGGACAATGTTCTTATCTATGAAGATAAGCAGAGGATGTTCTTAGTCTCCCACCACCTTGAGGTGCCACCGGGGAACTTTATTATTTTCTACCACAGACGTGCCATGCCACACTTACAATGCTAACCAGCATATATACATTTTCTTGTGTCCTCCATGGACAGGAGATTTGTCAAACATACAGTTCAGGGATTTATTGAACAACCACAGAAGGTGATCGTAGCACTTAAAATGTTAGGCTCAGCTACATACGTAGATATAGATTTACGAATGCATTAATGTGAAGCCACTGACGAGGCTTCACATGTGATCAGGCCACGCCAGACCGAGAACTAGAGCGCAACTTCACAAGTCTCCCGAGACCGATTGATGCCCACTACTGTGAATTTATAATGGTGAAATGCAATTCTGATCAGCTTTATACACATACCGGGGAACTGACGGCACAAATATCCCACCAATACAAATTGTCAACCCAGTTTAAGGATCACATCACGTGGACCGTCACTTCTGTAATTGCAACCATCACTATCGCTAAGTATTTAAAAGTCCTGCCTTGCTGAACGAAGTGCTCGTGTTAGCGTAGTAGGCTTCATTCTCTCCACCCTCATATGGTGAAGCCAGGGATTATATCCCGGGCGGGACAGAACTGATTGGGCCAAGTTTCACCCGCCTCTTTACCCGGTAGTACAATTTTTCTGGTTATTAGGCAGTAGTTCCACCTTCGGGGTGGGAAACCTCGATAACAGCCAAATACAATGTTGTATACACATCTATACTTACACAAACTAGCCTTTTAAAAACTTTAACGTGTTAAAGAGAATTCATTCAGCTAAGCCCGTTACAGCCTTGAGCTAGTTACAAAACTCACTATACGTAGTTATATCACCAATGAGTAGAGAGCGACCAGCCGGTATAGTTACAAACCTTCAAAAAAATAATAAATTGCCATCAGCGGTGAGAGACTGACAGAAGGTAACTGTACCGTCTCGTAGATTACTGTCCGACAGTCTAAGACGTGAATCCATCTCATATCTAACGATATCCACCTTCCGTTAATGTAAACAACACATTTCAGTATTCCTATATACTGCCAGTATATATATCTTAATTATCATATAATGGTCAATCCCCGTAACAGCTCTATAAGACAATAACAATATAGCACACAGCTTACTTGCAACTAAGGACTAGATATAGTAACAGGAGACACACACCACAAGGCGGTCTGGAGTACACTGTATGATCGATGACGGCTGCGGCCCTTTATATAACCTTTGCTCGGGGGTCTCCACTCTGTGATATTATTACATATTTCATTCACTTTCCCATATATCTTCCTCTCAATATATCCCCCTCCCCCCCCCCGCGCCTAATGTAATTTGACCTTATGTTGTACATAACAGTGACCGAAAATAAAAAGATGAGAAGTTTCAGAAGTTTCATGGCATTAGAAGTTGTTTGTGTGCAGCTATAGGGAGGAAGCAACCTAAACCTGTTTGTTGTTATCGTTCATCGTCAGCCAGAGGGTGTGACGTCATGGAAGACTTGCAGAATACTCGCTTCTGATTGGTCGACACCTGGACGTTAGTGGGTGTGTCCTCTACGCCTTTGCAATAATGTGCAATTTCTTAGAATGGTTGAAGAAGAACATCTTCACACATATATATATATACACCTTCAGCATTGAAGGTGTGCATATATATTCACCCTAGCCGTGTTTCACAGCACTAAATTCACGTGATTTAGCTCATTTCCAATAATCCTAAGTTGACACGCTAATTGTAAGTGACTCCTTGTCATCCTTGACTGCCCTCAGCTCCCTAAGGCATAACTGTGACGTGCTTATCTCTCAAGCTGGACACAGATATTGTGAAATAATCAATGATGGAGTCAGTTTGTCTCCTGTGGATTCCTTCCCATATTGGTCTCCGAATGCATGATAGAAATAATGAGCTAGCCAAGACTTTTGCTCGTAAAGAGGGAATTGATTACCAACTTGGACTGCCTTTGAGCAGCCTGAGGGCACCAATATCCCAGGAACATCAACTAAATTTTGGAGACCTGAGGCAAAGTGAAATTCACACCAGTTACTCCTTCTATCATCATTCTATTATGCAGGAAGAACCGCACGTCTATGGGTCATCCAGTAAGGTTAGCAAACTTCTAGATGTTACCACTGCTAGGCTTAGGCTCGGCTACAAGTACCTCTGGGAGTTTGTAACATCTGCTGATGTAGATTTGACTAAATGTAAACTCTGTCAGCAGAACTATTCGCATACTTTGCGTCATTATATAATGGAATGTGAAAAAATCGCGGAATTCAGAGATAACACCATCAATGGAGTCCAAGAAATGTGTAAGTACTTCATTCATAATGATGTGCTGCCCATGACTGTAAAGCTGCCGCCCAGTTGGGTGGGTGTGGAGCACATGACTGTAAAGCTGCCGCCCAGTTGGGTGGGTGTGGAGCACATGACTGTAAAGCTGCCGCCCAGTTGGGTGGGTGTGGAGCACATGACTGTAAAGCTGCCGCCCAGTTGGGTGGGTGTGGAGCACACGACTGTAAAGCTGCCGCCCAGTTGGGTGGGTGTGGAGCCCATGACTGTAAAGCTGCCGCCCAGTTGGGTGGGTGTGGAGCACATGACTGTAAAGCTGCCGCCCAGTTGGGTGGGTGTGGAGCACATGACTGTAAAGCTGCCGCCCAGTTGGGTGGGTGTGGAGCACATGACTGTAAAGCTGCCGCCCAGTTGGGGGGTGTGGAGCACATGACTGTAAAGCTGCCGCCCAGTTGGGTGGGTGTGGAGCACATGACTGTAAAGCTGCCGCCCAGTTGGGTGGGTGTGGAGCACATGACTGTAAAGCTGCCGCCCAGTTGGGTGGGTGAGGAGCACATGACTGTAAAGCTGCCGCCCAGTTGGGTGGGTGTGGAGCACATGACTGTAAAGCTGCCGCCCAGTTGGGTGGGTGTGGAGCACATGACTGTAAAGCTGCCGCCCAGTTGGGTGGGTGTGGAGCACATGACTGTAAAGCTGCCGCCCAGTTGGGTGGGTGTGGAGCACATGACTGTAAAGCTGCCGCCCAGTTGGGTGGGTGTGGAGCACATGACTGTAAAGCTGCCGCCCAGTTGGGTGGGTGTGGAGCACATGACTGTAAAGCTGCCGCCCAGTTGGGTGGGTGTGGAGCACATGACTGTAAAGCTGCCGCCCAGTTGGGTGGGTGTGGAGCACATGACTGTAAAGCTGCCGCCCAGTTGGGTGGGTGTGGAGCACATGACTGTAAAGCTGCCGCCCAGTTGGGTGGGTGTGGAGCACATGACTGTAAAGCTGCCGCCCAGTTGGGTGGGTGTGGAGCACATGACTGTAAAGCTGCCGCCCAGTTGGGTGGGTGTGGAGCACATGACTGTAAAGCTGCCGCCCAGTTGGGGGTGGTGTGGAGCACATGACTGTAAAGCTGCCGCCCAGTTGGGTGGGTGTGGAGCACATGACTGTAAAGCTGCCGCCCAGTTGGGTGGGTGTGGAGCACATGACTGTAAAGCTGCCGCCCAGTTGGGTGGGTGTGGAGCACATGACTGTAAAGCTGCCGCCCAGTTGGGTGGGTGTGGAGCACATGACTGTAAAGCTGCCGCCCAGTTGGGTGGGTGTGGAGCACATGACTGTAAAGCTGCCGCCCAGTTGGGTGGGTGTGGAGCACATGACTAAAGCTGCCGCCCAGTTGGGTGGGCCAAACTCTCACAAGTCAAGCCTGGCCTCGGGCCGGGCTTGGGCAGTAGAAGAACTCTCAGAACCCCATCAACCAGGTATCAACCAGGTATCAACCAGGGTGTGGAGCACATGACTGTAAAGCTGCCGCCCAGTTGGGTGGGTGTGGAGCACATGACTGTAAAGCTGCCGCCCAGTTGGGTGGGTGTGGAGCAAGACTAGTAACTGTGTGACTCACCATAGATGTAAAGTGCCTTGTATAGTGATTTGTGAGCCTTTTATTGAATCACTTGTGATACAAAAGATTATTGATGTGTGTATTTGTGTGGGTGATTAAATATGTATGTCTATGTATATATGTATACGTATATATATATATATATATATATATATATATATATATATATATATATATATATATATATATATATATATATTAGTATATTTTGGTAGCAGTCTTTCCTGTAGACATATATTATTAAATATGACCGAAAAAGTAAGATTAATAATTCTAACACGAATTTTCTCAATCTTTCGTACATTATGCTTCACTGTTGGAGGTAAATCAAAAATCACTTCTCCAAAATTCATTTTGATTTCTAGTCTGACGCGACACGGGCGCGTTTCGTAAAACTTATTACATTTTCAAAGACTTCACAAATACACAACTGATTAGAACTTGCGTTTCCCTGATTTTATATCTACATTTGAGTGAGGTGGGAAGGGTGATGTGGCATTACATTTGAGTGAGGTGGGAAGGATGATGTGGCATTAACACAAGACAGAACACTAGAGGATATTAATAGGGTATTAAAAGTATCAACACAAGACAGAACAGAAACAATGGGTATTGAATAGAAGTGTTTGTAGAAAGCCTATTGGTCCATATTTCTTGATGCTTCTATATTGGAGCGGAGTCTTGAGGTGGGTAGAATATAGTTGTGCAATAATTGGCTGTTGATTGCTGGTGTTGACTTCTTGATGTGTAGTGCCTCGCAAACGTCAAGCCGCCTGCTATCGCTGTATCTATCGATGATTTCTGTGTTGTTTACTAGGATTTCTCTGGCGATGGTTTGGTTATGGGAAGAGATAACTCTCTTCCCATAACCAAACCATCGCCAGAGAAATCCTAGTAAACAACACAGAAATCATCGATAGATACAGCGATAGCAGGCGGCTTGACGTTTGCGAGGCACTACACATCAAGAAGTCAACACCAGCAATCAACAGCCAATTATTGCACAACTATATTCTACCCACCTCAAGACTCCGCTCCAATATAGAAGCATCAAGAAATATGGACCAATAGGCTTTCTACAAACACTTCTATTCAATACCCATTGTTTCTGTTCTGTCTTGTGTTGATACTTTTAATACCCTATTAATATCCTCTAGTGTTCTGTCTTGTGTTAATGCCACATCATCCTTCCCACCTCACTCAAATGTAATGCCACATCACCCTTCCCACCTCACTCAAATGTAGATATAAAATCAGGGAAACGCAAGTTCTAATCAGTTGTGTATTTGTGAAGTCTTTGAAAATGTAATAAGTTTTACGAAACGCGCCCGTGTCGCGTCAGACTAGAAATAAAAATGAATTTTGGAGAAGTGATTTTTGATTTACCTCCAACAGTGAAGCGTAATGTACGAAAGATTATATATATATATATATATATATATATATATATATATATATATATATATATATATATATATATATATATATATATATATATATATATATATATATATATATATACATGTATGTATGAGTGTGTGTACATATATATAACATTAATAATTGTGTAACTAGCGTCAAAAGATTGTTATTTGCTTAGCTAAACGAACTAGAGCGTACTGAACGGATTATGTGCCTCTGTAATCCCTTACACCACCGCCCACGGGATGGGTATGGGGTGCATAATAAAGAAAAGAAATTGAATTCCATTAAAAAATAAACAACACTTGGATTAATTATACATTTTGAGTACGGCAAGACAATTTGACTCATATTTGCCAATCACTAAATACAAACGATTGATTTACTCACTTGTACTCGATGAATGACATCTAAATAAATATTATATATATATATTAAATATATATTTTAAATAATAAACAGCCGTTAGTGCGTATTTAGTGAGAATAATTACTAACTGGTTACCGGTGTTGACTGGGGGAGAGTTGCCACACGCCTCCACCTGCTGGCCCCCTGAGGCTTTATTTATTTTTATTTTTTTTACCTTTTAATTATTTTTGTTTTTTTTACCTTTTAACCTGTATTTTACCTTTACCTGAATTTACCTGAGTGCCACCAATACTCTAGTGGCCTCGACGAGGAGAGGAGGACCATCCACCTGAAGTAATGACCATCCAATTCAATTTCTTTTGACCATCCACCTGAAAATGGAAGCGGCTGGCGGAATTGATGTAATGTCCCGTTTTCTGTTGTGGGTCCTCTGGCAGGTTAGGACAAGGGCACGTTAGTACGACTGTTTCTTGACGTTGGGGACCTTAGAAGGACGGGCTGGCACCGGTTCGAATCTC